AGAGTCTCTATTTTATAACAAGTTAATTTTTTTCCATTTTAAGGATAAATTTACCTTAAAAATTTGCACTTTTTGATTGCCCTTTAAATATTTTTGTCCCTTGTTTTTGCTTCGCTTCATCTTTAAAAATCCCGCTTGATCCGCGCATTTCGCACGCTCGCGCCAGTCTCCCGTGCATCACACATGGATCAGGCAAATATTAGCGCGTTTCACCGCCCGTGTTTTACTACGCCCTGGCGTCACTTAGATAAATACGTCTTTCTTCACTTGATAAATGGTGAATGTCTGCCAAATGATTTGATAATTTGCAAAGGTTTTTCTTTCCGCACAGCAGACAGTCTTTACGCGTTCGCGGCATCGAGCGAAATGATTCCTCTTGTCAAACGGGACGCAGGGACGTTGCTACGGGACGCCCGGGACTTGCTTGCGGGACACTTTGAGAGGTGTCCCTATATGCGGGACGCACGGGACTTTCTTACGGGACGCATTTTAACGTGTCCTTGCGTCCCGTAAGACTGCTCTTATGGCAAGACCCATACACGAATTCAAAGCCGGGTTACATAATTCATTATTCGAAGCTCGCAGTTTGACATAAGTAGCGTAAGGATTAAACTATAGATTTGTATGACTAAATACTTCAACGTCACACTAACATACTGAAATTATTTGACAACAACACAATACGTTTTAAAATATTTATTTCTTAAATACATTATATGGTTGAATTGTATTTTAATTTACAAACACATCTAATGTAGTCCATGAGATTGTTTAGAGGAACAGTTCTTTCGAACTCAGAATATATTTGATGCCAAACAAAACATGACATGTCAAAAAGTGTTTCAAAATATATAATCTCTGTGTGTTTCTGATGGTTCAGGATACTTTAATATCTTGCATGCTTCAACGATTGCTTGCCACATCACTTCATGATTCAGCATTGCCAGAGCCTGTTCAGCGTAATCCACGTTTACTGCGATGAAAAATATGTTGCTGTCACGTGACCAATTTTGCATTTTTTCGGACAACTTTCGCACTCCGCTATTCAAAGTGTATACACGTGCGCGATATAAACATGCGAAAATATCGCAAAATAAGGACGATTTGCAAGTTTTTTTTTGTATTTGTGGGTATATTTAACTCCTGTAAGTGTAATATACCGAAGAGAAAAATGTCTAGTTGTATGGATAAGGAGAATAAGCGTGTTTCGGACATGACTGTTGCTGAACTAAAGGAGCATTTGAAAATGTGTGGCGTTACTGCAAACGGCTATTTAAAACCTGCTTTACTTCAAATTGCTCAAGCAGTGGAGAAAATGATGTTGCCGATTGACCCAAATCATGAATATGGAAATTCGGATCTCAAGAATGCAAGAGAAACATTTATTATTCATGATATGGTGATACGTCAGCCATTGTCATATCCAGTTGTGAACGACTTTATAGATTCGCCACCCTTCGGTTTGTACGATATTTTTAACTATTTAATATACAGCTCAGCTGAGTATGATAAACAGGGACTTGCCGCATATAAATCATTCGAAGATTATAGATTGTTTGATGAAGGCTATGTGGAGTCATTGAGAACCGCAACACTAAAGGAAGAGGGTGTGCATCTGTTTGTTGGAAAAGTACGGCCGGCTATGAAAGATACGACGGACGATGGAACAAAACTGTACGATGTCTGGTTTATGTTAGAAGGAAAAGGCAACAATCGAGGTAGCGTATTAATGGCTAGATGTACATGTAAAGGCGGGCAAGATGGAGGCTGCAAGCACATCGCAGCCTGTTTGTATTCGCTGGAGGATGTACTGCATAATCGCGAGAGTGTAACATCTGGTCCATGCCAGTGGGTTAAACGAGCGACATCAGAAACCAAACCGTGCGAAATTAAAAAGTTGCAAATACGGAGATCCGACAAAAGACCGAGTCCGAGTGAAGTGAAATGAAAATACCATTAATAATTGCACCAGCCCCCCCCTCTAATAAATGACCGGTCCCTAACAGTGTACACTCCTGTATTATTATCATTTAAAATTGTCTGTCATATAATGTTATGTTTAAGGTGCATTGTAGTAATGTTGGTTGATGTATCATTATGATAATCATATGATTATAATGCACCCTGACAAACCCTGCTCTTTTTTGGTCAGACATTTTTAAGTGTAAAAGCTAGCCAGTTGGTAAGGGGTAGGGGGGAGGGAGTATAGATGAACAAACAAAATTTGTCATGAAAAATATGTCACAAAATTGATTAATCTGTCACATGAAAAGACCCCTATTGAAAAAATTATAATATCTACTTTTTAGTTGCTAAAAGCACAAACACAACATCGTCTGATCATGGAATTCTGAAAGAAAAGCTTCTTGAATATCACAGAGAGTATAGCTTACACAAAATTTCTGCTGAGCATCTTCTTGCTAATATCTCATTCAATGATGAAGAAATGGAAAATGTTAGCACGTGCACAGTTCAACAATGGAAAATCAAGGAATGGTATGTCCACAAAGGTGGCATTATTACTGCTTCAAAAGCAAAGAGAGTTTTTAATGCACAGCTTAAGTTGGAAAAGGGTTTAAAATGTAATGTTTTAAATCTTGTAAAAGATATCACCTCTCCAAAATGCACATTTAGACCTTCCCAAAGGATTCATGTATCCCCCAGAATCCAAGAGAATGGGGTTTAGTTCATGAAGATTCAGCAAGAGATTCTTATTACAGGGTGGAGAGTAAGAAGCACTATAATCTCAGTCTTCTTTCTAAAGGACTTCAGATTTGCAAGGACAAGCCGATGATAGGTGCAAGTGTGGACAATATACGTACATGCAAGTGCAATGTTGATTGTCAAGACATTGTTGTAGAATACAAATGTCCTTGGAAACATAGAGATCAACCTCCCAAAGAAGCTTTCTTAACCCCAGAGATTGGTGGGACTGTTATTAAAAGAGATTATGTACTAAAAAAAGACTGCACCCTACTATTACCAAGTACAGGTTCAAATGTTTGTCACTGGGCTCAGCTTTTGTGACTTTGTAGTGTGGACAAAAAAAAGGGATTTTTGTGACATCAATATTATTTGATAAAGAATTCATGACTTCTTTGTGGAAGAAGGTGGAAAGCTTTTGGTATGGACTGCTATGGATGAGTTGACAAATAACGATTCTGCACCCAATAAAACTGCTGGTAAGCGCTTTTGTTTTTTATCACTCTTCTCAAAAAAAAACTACAATCATTAACTTTGTTGTTGAAACAGTTCTCTAAAAAGGCATACAGACCCCTCCCATCCCTTTTCAATGTTGCGGTATTTAAATACTCGAGATACACATGGTTGCGAAGGCTGATACATTACAGAGCTTTCGCAGGCTACAAACAACATTGAAACGGAGGGAAGGAGGCATATTTTGAAGTTTATTCGTCTTTATAGTCGCGTTTAGTCATAAGCATTGACATGATTGTAGATATATTTCTAAATTATTGCTGCTTCACAGGCATGTCAGACGTCAATCAACCCTCACAGATATAGTTAAATATGTAATAAAATGCACCAACAGTGTTGTTCATTTTGTCTTTATTATATTTTAGTACATGTGGATATTTCAAAAGATGAGCCTGTCACATTGCCAAAAAGTGCAACCAAAGAATTACGGAGCGTAACTGTCATGAATGTTGACATTTATGAGACCTGCATAAGGAAATTGGAACCAAGGCAAATGATAACATTATTAATATGCTGTTAAAGTAAGTGCTACTTTTGCAAAACAAGTAGGTCATACTAAGTGTAAATGCTACATGTGAGAATATTTTCCATTATAAAGATTTCAAGGATTGCAAAATTCCATTTGTGAGCACATATTTTTATACTGCTCTATGTGGAGAACAAGGTTCCAATACATTGAGGTAGATGTCTAGTTAATTCAAATTTATTATCTACTGTATATTACAATGAAAGACAACATTGGAAGTATTTAAGGTTTTTAGTGATTTTGATGCATTGTAAATATCATTAACTGGTGCTGTCTGCGCCAATCCAAAATTACAAAATAGGGTTGGGCCTCTGTTTCTTGAAGAATCAGGTAAGAAGTTTTTGAAATCTGTTTTGATTATTCAAACTTTTACCATTATAGGCGGTGCTACAAGAATGCAGAAGTGTTCTTTAAACCAGAGTTATGGACAAATGATTTTTTATTCATACCAATAAACAGAAGGTAATATAAATTAAATAATGTATGTGTACCAACAATGATGCCCTTCCCTTTCCCTATTAGTTTTGCAACAAGGTACATATTGGTTAAATTGTATAATATTTTGTGTTTCAGTTACCATTGGCTATTGGCTGTCATCACTCCATGGTAAGAATCAAAAGTTTAAAACAAACATCTTAAACATTTCATGCCCAACGTTAAGTTAAAATTTGAGAAAAAATGATTTTTTGTAGGCATGTCCTCATAATGGATTCTTTAACTTGGGATATTGGAAGTAGGAGAAAGGAGTTTAGTCTCCTTTTCAGGTAAGATGCATTTGTATTATGATTTAGACATTTGTATCAAAATCAGCAGACCTGCCAAGTCTCACGATTTTTTACGCTTTCTCACGATTAAGTCCCCAAATCTCAAAAATTTTCGGGCAAAATCTCTGCTAAAACCACAAATGATTCTAAACACCTGTGGAAAAAAGAAATACATGCTATTATTTCATGATACTTGACACTGGAAACTACTGAAGCCATAAAAAAAACCAGCTTATTTTTAATAAGCCTTGCAATATGGTTATATTAACAAAATATAAATGCATACTATCTTAAGATTGAATACCTATTGATTATTTTCTAGTGTTGTTAAAGTGAACCCTGGTCATATTAATGAGCAAACCTAAAAATTTCTAAGTCTCGCGATTTTTCGGTCAATCTCACAACTTTTTAGATAGCAACTCACTATTTCTGCTACTCAGGGGTTGGCAGGTCTGAAAATGTGTTTTGTTACAAAGTTATTTTACAAAGTTGTTTTTTTATTCTATATAGATTCTTTGAGCATTTGTGCAAAAAAAAACGCTTTGCTATGGTGGCCCATCGTTCTCGTTGAAAAAACACAAGATGAAAGGAACATTATGTAAAAAAAAATCAAAATAAAAAAAAATAATAAAAAAAATAATAAAAATAATAAAAAAATAATAAAAAAATTAAAATAAAAAAAAAATTATAAAAAAATAATAAAAAAATTAAAATAAAAAAAAATAATTAAAAAAAAATTTAAAGGACAATGGCAATAAATTTTTTTATTCCTGATATTGGTAAAACTGGACCCCCTGATTACGAATATGCCATTAGTTTTCATCAAAAATGTTTTGTTCTCGAGTTATTTCACCATAAATATTCAGTACGTCCGCCATCTTGGATCGATTTTCAAAAAAATTATCTTTTGGGTCACATGACGTGTGTGACGTCAAGAGCAGGGTAGAATCAAAACAACAAATATATTTTATTAGGCGCATATTGCGACTTCGTACTTCTAGTGAGAAATTTGGCGCTTTTTGATCACTCGGATGGAAAATATCCACGATATCAAGTAGATAAGGTATTACCTTATCAATTTGAACCTAAACTGGGCTTACAAACAAGCGATAGCGGTGACGAGAGCGACTCCGAAGAACAGAGTGAATCGTCTGACGAGGAAATCACGATGTGTAATGTGTTTGAGGTCGAAAATGCTTGGCGCATTACACATTGAAGCCAAAAGATATTGAATTGTTTTGTTGCCACGATAAAGCGTTAGACTACGATGAATAAGATGCATGATTAAAGGAGGCTGAAACCCAAGGGGAGAAGTGCTCGACTGCCTTTACAACACTGTCAATACATGCAGAATTGAAAGCAAACATGCTTGTCGGAAGGGCTATTAAATAGACGTTTGTCGCTATCTTGAAGATATTAAACTGGCCTCTGGATGACAAAGATTTGGACAAGATACACAAAATTTATAGACTAGTAGCTTCCAACGATGTTCGCGTTGGGTATTTGAGATTTTGGGGAATAAGAACAGAAGGCCACTTCACGGCATGCGTGTGTTCACACAATAATAGACAAATCCCATTATAGAGTAATTT